TGTGGCGGGGGGGTTAGATGCGCACCCCACGTGATCGAGACTATATTATTTATAATTTATGATTGGCCGACGGGGGTACTAATGGGTGGGGCGAAGCTAGCCGAGAGGGAGATGTGCTCGTACTATTCGGTTTCCCCGATTCTGCACCTCGGTAAGCTCAATGGGAGCTACGGATTGTTCATAGAGCATGGGGATGAAAGTGGGGTTTGACCCTGATGGGCGAGTGAAGGGGGCGGTGGGGTATGTCGGAAGGAAGGAGGGAGCTGGAAGGAAGAAATACGCGCCAAGGAAGCATGCAACGTTAGGACTCGCGCGTCATAGATCGGTGGGAGAGGCGCTTAATAAAACGAGACAAATCGCTTGGGAACGAGTGATTTACCAAAGGGAAATGATACGAGGAGAAGCGTGTTCAGAATAAGGAGTGGTAAACAAAGGAAACGTCGAAAGGCGTAGCGAGAGCTAGGTAGATGTAAGAAAGAAAAGGAGCGAACGACGGAAGCACGTAGGTGGGGGTTGTCTTATAATCTGGAATACGTCCCGGATGAACCTTGAACTTTTTGTCGAGGATTAATTCAAGTTTATGAATGTACATATAGTTTTTTTACTCTTACTACTTAATATCGCGTGTACATATATAGAGAGGTATTTACCATTCGGTCCGTAATTATATGATTACCATAACGTCATCCCCGTGTGCCCATCTCAACCCCACATGCGCAGGCACGCCTATTATTCACGTACCTTCGAGCAGCGATTGACCTCATCGAATGATCCTCAATCATTATTATTATTATTATTATTATTATTATTATTATTATTGTTATTAGTATTATTATTATCATCATTATAGATCATTTCGAGATCATCTCTCGCGATAAGTAACCAGTCGATCCTGGAAGGATCGTCATTCGTCTATTGACCAGTTCAGTAAGATGACACGAAAGGATTGAAAATGAAACATGTTTATTAATGACGTAGCGAGCCAGGGCCGTAGACACTGGAGAAGTCGGTGTCGGGCCATGTGTACTTTTTACGTGCGAACACGTGTGCTTCCCTCATCGCGTATGTATACGTACTCGTGAGAGTGTACTCTAATGTTGTGTGCACGGCTCGTGTTAAGGTAGGGACTAGCTGTAGGCCAGCGTAACCTAATCATATATGTCCGTCTACTATGACTGTGACATATGACGCGCAGTATTGACAAATCTCTTATTTATTTGATCGATCATCGATTCCATGACTATCATAATATTCGCGTACTTTTATTCCTGATTCCATTTTCATCCTCTATTTCTGTCCAATGGTCCTTGTAGTATTTATCATTCCTCATTCGTTCGGTACGTGTACTGATCTCTGTATTAACAACACCAAGATGCATGTCCTCATTTTCTAACCATAATATTCATTCACCTTTCATATCTTCACTTATCTTACATACGTATTTGGACACTTTTCTTTGAATTCTTTTATATTATTGTCTTGGGTGTCCATTAGCATCTTCATGTATCTCTCATTCATCTGTTCATCCTCTTTCTCTCTCTCTCTCTCTCTCTCTCTCTCTCTCTCTCTCTCTCTCTCTCTCTCTCTCTCTCTCTCTCTCTCTCTCTCTCTCTCTCTCTCTCTCTCTCTCTCTCTCTCTCTCTCTCGTTTAGATTTAGAATTTCCTAGATTGTAACGTTTGTATATGTATATGTATGATCTGTAACTCTACGTCTATTTATAAACGTATTATAATCAAATGGGCATTGATTCTTTAATAGAAATTATGACCGAGGCGATTAATCTTATTTGTGGACTTCGCTAAATACACGACAGTTACGTTTTAAACTTTCTTCGTGTACCGTGTGACTGGTTACGTGATCCCGAGGGATATATTTTAGCCAATAGGAAGGAAATCCCGAGCCCAACAAGAAGGCCGATTATAGCGCCGATTACCAGTCCCACGCCAAACAGGAAATCCTCGATGTGCCGTTGACGGCGATCATTTTTATCCCGATTTCCGGTGCTACTGCTCAGTAATGGCTCTTCGCGATTTCTCAACACGTAATCCAGCCAATAGAGTATCCTGTCCGTTGCAGGATTCGGTCTGTCCCTTATTGCTTGCGATATCTTTCTAGCATTCTCACGATAGGATGCTGTTTCGTGGATGTGCTTAATGACGCGAGATATCGGCTCGGATTTCGCCGGTATATTTCCGTCTACGTTAGCAAACGAGAAGCCGAGTTCAATGGCGCGGTCTGAATTCCGTCTTTCGTCATGGTTTCTTGGGAAACAGATGACGGGGGTTCCGTGAAACGCAGCTTCCAGGAGTACTGTGTCCTCGCAGTGACTCAGTAGGACTCGAGTCCTGGCAAACCCTGAAAATATATATACTTTCTTGTTTAAATTGGATTTCAATAAATAACTTCATCCGCTTGAAAATTCGTACTGGCAAATTGTAATTAACTCGTTTTAGGAAATGTTTACCATCGCGCCATCTGTTGGATTATGTATGTCAGTGACAGAGCTGCACTCTCTTGGGAGATTAGTTGAACTTCTTAGAGAATATTTCACTTGTCGTTTTTTTTACCGACCTTTTTGCGTCGTTTATTAGCTATTCGGTGAAATCGGTAAGTGCTCGTTTAGGAGTATCAAAAGGAGATGGTTTTTTTAATATGGTAATTAGTATTATTGTTTGTGAAAATAGCAATAAGTTTTTAGAGAGACTATACGAATGTTTGGTAAAATTCGGTAAAAAAATATTTTAAATATAAGAATAATAGATTTTAATTATATTCTTACCTATGATATCTTGTCTGATAACATCAGAATGTATAAAAAGATTTGCTGGCTGCTCCTGATTATTCAATTTTAAATTTTTGCGTTTCCACACTATAGCTTGTCCCTGTCTGCCTTGCGGTAATTTCTCGGCCAGTTCTACGATAAGGTCCTCATAATTTTCATCAAGAAGAGCAGCCACAGTACCCAAACGAAATTCTATCAGTTCTTTTTGAAGAGTTGGTGGTAAGGGATAAACGCCTCTACAGTGATGACAGCCAATCTACAAATGAAAATGAAGTTTTCATTAAGTTAATAACATATTTCACTACATATTTGAATAATATTACACTTACCTCGACCAACGATCGTGAGAGTAAGGCAAAATCGGAGCGCAATACATAATCAGCACCCCAAAAAACAAGGGTGACATCCGAATATAAAGTTTCCGGTTTAATATGAAGATCAGGTAAGAACTTTTGAACAAGCTTCAGAGCCGGGAATACGTAACTATCATCAGTACTAGACAGTATCGATCTTGCACGCATGAGTTCAATTAATCTCGACCAAATACCATCCCTATGAATCGGCAGAGCCATCTCTGTCTTCTGAAAGGTATATAACTCATCATCTATGCCTCTGCTCCATATAACAGGAATAGATCCCACGTGTTTCACCCAGGGTAAAAGGCAAGCGTCATGTCTGCAATAAAAATTCAAAATTGCAAATAAAAACATCCCCCCAAAGTAAAATAATTCATGACCTTACCTCCATGCAGGAAACACTACAAATGTGGGAAGTATTTCACGAACTTTATTAGCTAATTTTTCATCCGTCAAAAACGTCTGACATATCTGCAAAGCCACTCTATCCGCACTTTGGTGGCCATTCTGATCCAACGAAGATTTATTCAGCGGGTATACCTCGACGTCTACTAAGTTATCGTATACTTCTTCCAAGGAGTTCACCACCAATGTAGTATCGATACCTTGATCCGATAAAGTATTCGCCAAGAGGGAGAGTTCGTTGACATTGTCGAAGGCAATAACCAAGGCCGATTTAGGTGGAGATGCCAAACTTGACGCATCAGCTAGACACAGGAACGTAAAGATGTACACAAGAAGTCCCACGATCTCAACACTCTTGGACATTTTCTTCATTTGATCTGCGTATGAATACAGACTAAAATGGTACAGCTACTTGGTGCGTGTGTCCTCCTCCGGAGGTTCCACGTGTACCACTTGGACGGGTTAGGATTATTCTCGAATAAACACTGAATGTATTCTTATGCACATGTTATTCTCACTCTTATGGGAATCTCTTATCATATTAGGGTACGACTATACACTATAGTGAGTACTGCATGGACTCAAACACGCCTGCTATATCCTTAAAATGCAAGAATATACTATATCAATGGGCACACGGTAACGGGACGCAGCACTGCCATGGGATGTTAATAAGATACTCGTGGCAATACAGAGTCCGTTTATTATCGTGTAGTTCTCGTCTGTGTATTCTTTGTGTAGTAGAATGTTCTGCAGTTTCCATTTATATCTTCCCACACTTATTGGGTATGTTTAGAGTGGTTTGGTTCGTATGTACTAAGTATATAAGGTCATTTGGATAACCTTTAAAGGGAGGAACATTTTGTATTATATTATTTAGATCTAGATTTAATTTATTTCAAAATAAGCGTTATTGGATTACGAACTTTTGAATATTTAAGTAAGTTTATATTTATAGTTTTAATTGCATATGAAAATTTACGGCAATTGAACGCCGGCCGGCAATAGCGTCTGATGGCTGTAGCCATTGTTCACTTTTGTATGAAAAGGAAATTTTGGGTATTTATGAGAATTTTGAAGAAGAGTTTTTCGGAATTTAAATGTTGTTAGTTATATTTATTATAAACTTTATTAAAATAGAAGTGGTGAAAAAGATTGCTTTGCAAATTTTTTTTTAATGAGTGCAAATTTGTATGCAGTACTTTCTGATATAATTCGTGATATTTAAAAAGTAGAGTTGATTAGATACGTCCTAATGGATGTATGTGAGTGTTTAATAATAATAATAATGAGTGACGTAATATAATATGACTTGATTGATGAATGATAGTTTGATTAATTTGTTAATTTAATACTCTTGAATTTCATATATTGTTTGGAAAATTTGTTTAACGCACTGTTTAGAGCGCTTCTAGCGGTTTTCGTAGTAACTTGCGTAGTTCCGAACTGACCTTAGGTGATAAAGGTTTGTTTCGTAAAATGAATCGAATTATTCTTTAATTTCACTAATTTTCTTTTTGTTGTTGAATTGTGATTTGATAGTTATGCTTTTATACTGAGCGCTTATCCTGTCAAGTAATTCGTGTTGTCTGTGGTTCTTTACGTTTGTACTGTGAACGTAGTGAGGTTATAAGAGTTCGAACCCGGGAAAAATGAGTTTCAACTTTGATGCATCGAAAACACAACCGGGAGTTACTCCTGGGTTAAATGCTCCAACTGTGGCAGGTAATTAATGAAAGATTAATTAATAATAATTAACCATAATGTTATTTAATGTATACACGTAATTTGTGTATTTTGTTCTGTAGGTTCTACCGGATTTGCATTGGGTGGCACAGGAGCTGGAGATGCCAGTAAATCCACGGCCAATACTTTCTCCTTGATGTCAACGCCTTTTCAAGGCAAACCTGCAGGACTCTTTAGTCAAAGTTTAGGAACTACCTTAGGACAGGGAACTGGTTTTGTTTTTGGGACTCCACCTGGTACTACGACATCAGCTCTCCCTATGGGCACTCCTATAACGACTACATCTTCTGGAACTTCTTTGAACATTGGTGCTTCAGGCACTGGAATAAATTTTGGACTACCTAGTACAACACCGCCTACTGGGTTTGGAATTACAAGTACTCCTACAACAGGTACTGGATTTAATTTGGGAGCTCCCGTGGCTACTACGACCACTGCCACACCAGGACTTTCCTTTGGAATCGGTCAGCAACCAACTCCTGGATTTTCTATTGGTGGATCATTAACTCCTGCTACTTCTGCAACTCCTGGACTCAGCTTTGCCATTCCAGCAGTTACGACAGCAACTACTGGTTTTAATCTAGGTAGTGCTACTCCTACAACAACTACAGGATTCATGATTGGTACTACGCCAGCAGCTAGCAGTGCTGTTACTGGACTTTCTGTAGGAAGTGCAACTGCATCAAGCACTCCTGCATCAGTTACTGGATTCAGTTTAGGCACAACTATACCTGCTACAGCTGCAACAGGATTCACTCTGGCAAAAACTACAGCTGCAACTGCAGCAAGTACAATTGCTAGCAGTGCTCCACAAACTTCTCTAGCTACTGGAACAACGTGAGTTACATATATCTAAAATACCAGTTGTACGTGAACTGCCATTAAATAACCATATTCTCTTAATATCTGTAGTGTAAGTTCATCTGCAAGCAGTGGAAACACTGGAGCAATGAACTTCTGCCAACTTGAGGAATCAATTAACAAATGGACTCAGGAGTTGGAAGCACAGGAGAAGGCCTTTGTAAATCAGGCTCTTCAGGTAAATGCCTGGGACAAATTCTTAATAGCAAATGGTGAGAAGATTGTGACCCTGAACCAAGAGATAGAGAGGGTAAAACTTGAACAGCAGCAACTAGAACACGAGTTGGACTATGTGGTATGTTTTTGATTTCTATAATAAAGATCCTTTTTGAACATCCTCCTCTCAATGTTTTTCGTTTACTAGGTTGGTCAGCAAAAGGAGCTTCAGGACTGTCTAGAACCCTTGGAAAAGGAATTAGCTAGCCTCTCTATATCAGATCCTGATAGAGAGTATACATACGGACTTGCCAAAGATATAGACACACAACTTAAACGTATGTCAGAGGATCTTAAGGAGATCATCGAGCATCTCAATGAGGCCAATCGTGCCCAAGATCCTAGCGATCCCATAGTACAAATTGGGAAGATCTTGAATGCTCATATGAACAGCTTACAATGGTTGGTACAGAGAGTTGAGCTGGTAGATCAGAATATTCAGCAAATAGACCAATCACGACAGAAGATAAAACAAGCTAGGGAATTGAATATCAGTTTGGTGTGAAGAAAAAAAGCTGTTTTCGTGCCTATTGTACACATTTCCATACACTAAACGTTATTCACATTTCACTTCATGTCAGCTTAAGGAAAATAAAAGATTATTGTTACAAAAACCTTGGCATTCATATTTTTTTTTCTGCAAATTAAGACGACATGGCAGGTACAAAATATTGCATTGTAAGATGCCCTTCAATCATTAAACACAGATTTAACATTCTCTCATGGACTATATTACATGTGACATTGTCTGGATGCATTGTGTCCCCAGATAAGAACATTGCAAACTTCTTAATTTCAACTTTCGCTGAATATTTTTGATCAGTTATTGGTTTTGACCCTTTAATCAGTAGACCTTGAAAATGTGTGGCTATGGTAGCATGATCTGTCTCTATCTTTAGTATTAATTGTCCAGTTCTGTCAGCAATTATTGTAATTTGTCCACTCATATTTCTCATTCTATCTACTTGATGACGAATGTGCTTTAACTCTGGCATTTCTATGGTTATCTGAAAGTATGAATCATAAATTAGAAACCAATTACAGGGTAACAACATTATAGGTAATTTGCCATTAGAGATTTCAGTTACATCAAACTGAGGTATATCAGGTGTCTGGTACATTTCCCATTCCTTCCTTGGTATTACTCTAACAGGAACATCATGTACACAATGACGAGATTCTGTACTAAGAGATGATAGTTCTAACTCAATAGTAAGACACGGCTGCTGCTTATTTGTTAACTTTATTTTAACTGGTTTAGCTGTCATTTTGAGCGAACTCAAACTCCTAGCAAGCATCGATGGCTCTAATTCTAGAAATATTTCATCATGCTGCGTGGAGACACCAATCATAGTATATTCATCGAAAAAATTGTCTGGTGTGAGCTCAGCCCAAATTACTGGCCACCTCTTATCTCCCACGAAGAAATAAACGTGTTGTTTCGTTAAACGGAACACGCATAATTTAGATGCACGTACCACTGTATTTACTATGTCTGAAACAACCAATCGGAGTAACAGGAATTTTGACACAACAGTTTCGTTCAGCTTTACTTACTGCTAAAATCCCTCATAGCAATTCCATCCGACATTCTACATTTGAATTTCATTTTGTCACATTAAACGCAACTCTCAGAATAGCAAGATAACAGTTTGAATTACATTTAAAAACTCCTCCTTGACAATTCCGTGCATCTAAACCTTTTCACAGATTTGGCGCTAAACTCACGGATGTCAATAGTATATGTTTGTAGAAGATTCGTCCTGTTCTGCCTTATCGATATGACCACACCGGAGATGTATTACTATATATGTATTCTCGACCAATCAAAAACGTGAGACTGATTCAAGGGCCTTCAGTTCAGGCAGAGATGAGTCGGGAGATCCACCAGAGATAGGGAGATGCACAACGCTACGACAGAGATGAGTAGGGAGATGCACAGCGCTAAGGTTTTAGACGATACCAAAAACATGGCGCTAAATCGTAGCGGCGAGTCCGGGAATAGAATTTTGTGATCATCGCCTCCGACGATAATGCATATCCCGTCGTAGCCGAGCTGAACGTGATCACGAACGGGTAGCCTGGCGGGCAGAGATTCTCCACAACTTACAACTGATTCTCAGAGCAACCCTTAGAAAGAGGCCGCTTATCAGATATCGCCTACATATTTTTTTTTGTAATCCAAAATTCAAGTGTACAGCGTCAGCTCGATAAGATTTACTAAGGCAAAAGCCAGCACCTTATGCCTGCTTGCGTTAAGGAGTGCAGCGATGCGGTGCTAGCTTCCATCATTATTTAACAATAGTTCCAAGCGGAACTATGGTCCCGACATTGAGTACTAGAGAGAATTATTCCGGAACTGTTTGAAACACAACCTGAAAACAACACTGAAAGCCAGCTCCTTATGCATACCTGCACTGAAGCATAAGGTGCGACTAGTATCCTTAATAGGTATTTTAACGATGTTACGTAGCAGAACTGTCGTTTTGAAAGTCAGCTCCTTATGCATACCTGCACCGAAGCATATGGTGCGACTAGTATACTTAATAGGTATTTTACCGATGTTACGTAGCAGAACTATTGTTAAAACCTGGTTCCAAGTGGAACTATGGTCCCAACATTGAGTACTAGAGAGAACTATTTCGGAACTGTTTGAAACACAACCTGAAAACAACACTGAAAGCCAGCTCCTTATGCATACCTGCACTGAAGCATAAGGTGCGACTAGTATCCTTAATAGGTATTTTAACGATGTTACGTAGCAGAACTGTCGTTAAAACCTATCTGGAACTATAGAACTCCTCGAGAGCTATTGAAAAAGCCTATTGTTGAATCATGAAAACAACATTGAAAGTCAGCTCCTTATGCATACCTGCACCGAAGCATATGGTGCGACTAGTATACTTAATAGGTATTTTACCGATGTTACGTAGCAGAACTATTGTTAAAACCTATCAGGAACTATAGAAATCCTCGAGAACTATTGAAAAAACCTATTGTTGAATCATTTTTAAGAGATTTTAAAAAAGTGCGGTGCTGGAGCTGCCACCCGTGTAGCACCTCAATTTTTGAAAAATTCGAGTTTTAACGATGTTACGTAGCAGAACTATTGTTGAAACCTATCAGGAACTATAGAACTCCTAGTTAAGTGCGTAGCATGTACAACGCTCAGACACCAATTTTGGAAGTTCTTCAAGAAAGTATCGTTTGTACCTCTTTCCAATCAGTCCCCTTCGAAAGAGTATAGTCTCTAGTATATAAATATTTAAGAAATTGCGGTGCCAACTTCATAACCGTGTAGCACCTCTATTTTTGGAAAATGTTTCATGATGTTTCAATAGGTTTCAAATGTTTCAATAGGTTTCGAGGAACCTATCGACGGAGGCGATGATCACAAAATTCTACTGCTGGACTCGCCGCTGCGATTCAGCGCCATGTTTTTGGTATCGTCTAAAACCGTAGCGTTGTGCATCTCCCTACTCATCCCCGAATGCAGTGCCTACGCCATTGTGCTAGGGCCAGAGAATTTGTTCGTGCGTCAATTAAAAAAATCATAGGAATATTCTCTAAAAGCAGGTTAACCGTAACTGGTAAGACATGCTCCCTGCAGATGAATATCTGTGACTTTGTTTCAAGAACTAATTAATACTGGCCACAAATTTTTTGTTTGAGGCTGATGATCGTCATCGTGAAAATTATAATGCGGCATGCGGCGAAATAGAATAATCGCGTTTTCATAGAAGCAAAGTTGAAGAATAACGTCCCTTGTGGTTTTGTCAAGACTATAGAAAAAATGAGCAGGTATTTGTTATGCATTCAAGTTTTTTTTAAACAAATATTGCAGTTATACGTACACTCGTATGTTGATGACTATATTTTTCATTTATTATTCATTAATATGCATTCCGTACACCTGGTCCGCTGTAGAGACCCCAACAGACTAGACTTACATCAAAATAAAAACTTGTTTAGCTTCAAAGCAATGGCGCTTTATCATTACTTTAAAATAACCATAAACTATACGATATAGTTTATTAACCGACAACCTTATTATCGCGTTGTAAATTTATATATTGAGATCGGATCGTGATGAAATGAAAAATTATCACTGGAATGCTTCTAACATTTTTTCGTTGCTGCATTAAGGCCATTATTATAGTAATACATATTTACATTAGTAACAAAGCTACATTAATCTAGCTCCTCGCGATTATATTTTAGTGCACGTGATACGAGTACAATACTTAGTACATAATAGCAAAACTTACTTCGGTATAAGCTCAGAAAAAAATCACATATTATAGGACTCATATATAACGGTTAAAAAATATTCAGCGAATATCAATTTAAACCCCAGCGTCCACTTTGAAGGTATGTTTGCTCATTCGAACAATGCATTAAGTACACTCTCAGTGTATTTGTTCAATTGAACAATTCATTAGGTATACTCTCACTCGAGTGTTCGATAAAAATATATTTAAAAAATGCAAAATAATCTTCTGCTCATGTAAATTCGACTAATCGTCATTAGATGTTTAGGATAATCATTGAAGTGTATATATGTATGTACCTCTCGTACAGTGTTATCTATTAAGAAAAATATATGATAAACAGAAAGAGGTATCTATTCTGTAAAATGGATTAGAAATTTACGTATATAAAAATCAGTATAAAGGTATTTAAATAGCTGAACTCATTGCAGCAAGGCCTAACGCTTAGGTTTAGGGGGTGCTCGAGGATTTGGCTTGTTATGCAACATTGTTTCACATTTAGGAATGTGACGTTCGGCTGCACTTTGGTTGAATTTTCTTCCGCAATGTGGACATTGTATGTAATCGCTCGTATCACTCACAGGAGGCGGTGGAAGATCACTTAGCTTCCCACCAGCCGCCAGATGAGCTTGAACCTGTTTCGCAGATCTGATGGCATTGATGAAATCTTCATGTTTCTTTCGCCAGTTTGACTTCACTTCAGGTTTCTTATTTTTAGACTGAAAAAGACCGAATACACGTTGCCCATTATAATGCGTACCTGGCTCCCTCTTTGGCCTGTCTATTTAAGAGTGCGCGTGCCGAGAGTAAAATATTCTTTATCGCAAGGATACAAGTGGAAAGGACAGTGGTAAGGTTGGGACTTTATAATAAAAGACAACTTACGTCAGTTTTCTTGGATGTTCCTTTTCTAGCAAACGGCTCTAAATCGGTACCCTTAACACGAAACAGCATGGCGTCGAATTGCTTCCTCTTTTTCTGTCCAGTCTTTGCACAAATTTGCTCGTGAAGTCCTATTCGGTCCTGCGCGAAGCGGCGGCCGCATATCTTACATTCAATTAGATTGTCGCTAGAAGCAAGTGAAAGATATTTATTAGTCATAGAAATAAAAGATTAATTGAATGGAAGTACGTGTATAAAGTTTGACTTACTTGTTTACAGCCGTGCCACCACTTCTGGCAGAAGCTTTAGGGCCTGACGACGCTCTACCACGTGTCGGTGACTTAGACTTGGACTTTGTAGCCATTTTACCTTTGGCAATGGCGGAAGTCTGACCTCGTGCGGAACTGCTGCTGGACGCAGTGGAAAGCGAGGAGACTGGTCTGGTGTAAGGTGTAGCAGCAGGTGAACGTTGCGTTGGAGTTCCTGATAGCTTCTGTAGAAGGATCAAATCTCATATTAAATTATTCGCCTAGTAAACATTTCTTTACAGAACAGATAAAGTACCTACTGTGGAATGAGAATCATTTGCATTGCAAAATTAACAAATGTTATATCCAAGGAACGTCATTGATCTCAGAACGGTGACTCATGGAGGAATTTGTATTATTTAAAGAAAAAATGCATTTGGAAATTGTTACAAGGTAATTATTTAGGTTGGAGACATCGAGTGTTATTGACCGAAGTTACAGACGTGGGACACCATTTTATTTATCCGAATAATATGTGAAAGGCGTTTTTCTCGCGTTCATTTTTGTCGCCGCTGCACACTGCGTTTTTATGGAAACTATGTAGACAGGTATAGCGTCTGCATATATTATTTTCACTGGCAATGCGACGTTCTACTGTGCAGTGGAAAAATGAAACGTCAGGTTTCTGGAAAGCTTATGAGACTGTAACGTTAAACAGATGTACTATACAGTCGTGCTGGTTAGACGATGTGAAATGATATTTGAAAGAAATAGAGTTCACGTACAGTGCAGTTAATAAGGTATTGTCAAATTAATTTTATCATTTATAATCTGTGTAGTAAATGAATTTTGTCGTTCTTCTTTAATAGCAGAGTACATCGCGAATGAGGATCTCTGTACGCAACGCGTTATACGATGGTGATGTCAGCGGAGGAAGGTTAAAAAAAGGAACGTGAAAAGGAGAAACAGGTGAAGGAAGCCATAAAAGGCGTTGCGTGGGTCGCAGTGGACACGGAGGATTGCAGAGGACGTATAAAAAGAATTGGGATCAAATAGGTCGTCAAGAAAGGAAATTAGAGAAACAAAGAGTTTCGAGTCGGGTGGCATTCGGTGAATTTCGTAAGTGGTACTTTCGAAAAATCTAAATACGAATCAGGCTTGCAGTATGTTACAAAGGAATTCGTTGATAAACGAAGCATAACGTTAAAAAGAAATATACGAATTTCTTGGTTATTTAAAGACTCCCGTCATGCCACATGTCTTTCTCGTTCTGAAAATGCGTATCTCCTGTCTTTAATTTTCACGGTTTCTCAGCCGACTACGTGTCGCCGACAATGTTACACGCGGTAATAAGAGTTCGAACAATCGGGTTTGCAAGGCGCGCTCGAATGGTCGATGGAATAAGACCGAACAATGGAGCTTTAAAAGTTTAAACTCACTTCTGGGACTTGTTTTCTGGCTGGCGGCTTTCTAGCTGCCGTCGGACCGTTCTCCGTCGACTCGCCGAAAGCATCAAACTCCAGGGTGAAAGCTTCGCTTTTCCGTGGATTGAGCGGTAGAGCATCGCCATCCAATTTCCTCTCTCCTGCAGAGTTTTCTGACTGATAATTGTTCTCTCTGTTGGGTGCATCTACGTTGTCTCCTGTCTTTGGCACATTCGGTGTAGCTCTCTTGTTTCCGCTGGTATCCAAACTCCTTGCAGTACTAGATGACTTTCTGGTGGCTCGAGCTACCGAATTTTTGACTTCCGCTGAGACCAGCTAAAAAAATAACGACACACTTACCACGTAAATAAAATACACTTAAGAGATTCCTAGTAGAATTATTTTGTAGTTTGGTGAAATATTTTTCTTACCCTCGCTGCGACCTCGGGATTTTTCGTAGGTGACTGGGGAACACTTCTTTTCGCAGATACCGCAGGAGTTCTAGAATTACTGTCGACTCCTTTTCTCAATACTGGATCCGGACTGGGAGCTTTCGAAACCCTAAGGGCAGGTGCCGGACTTTTAGTTAGGGTTTCCTGTTGCTTTAAAGCTTTCGAATTGTTTCCCTGACGTTTAAGGTACTGTTCGTGCGGTATAGTGATTTCGTGAAACTCGCGAATGGACTGTCCTTTGTCATTCGATTCAGGACTTTCAGTGAACTCTCTGAATATTTTTTGAATTTTTATGCTTTTCGAGTGTTTAGACGCAGATTCTAAGGAATCTTCACTCTCGGTACGAGACTCTACAGCAAACCTTGCTTGATTTTTATTATCTGTACGGTACTTGTTTCGTGTATTGGTGTAATACTTGCAAGCTTCATCCAGAGAATCAGGACTTGGACTTTGATCACGATCAGTGTTACGCTCCTGTCCCGTGAAACTTTCGTCCCTGATGGTCTGTCTTGAGTATATACGCGCAGCTTCCAGGGAATCAGGACTTTCCGAACGGGAGTCCACCGCAAACGTGCTTTGGGAAATTCTGCAGGCACTTTTTGAACTTTTCACGTTATCTGAGCTTTGCGTGTGGGTCGTCTCGTATCTTGCATCAGAGCTTTCTTTATGTTTGTATTCTGCGTCCAAAGAGTCGAGACTATCTGAACGATACTCGTCGGTAACGTTTTTTAAAATTTTTGTTTTGGTTGCATCTTGATTTTTATCTTTTTTAATGAAATAGTTGCTCTTTAATGTCTCCTTGGAAAGGGAATCGGCGAGGTTTGATTTATCATTGACAGTTTTCAAATTGCTTCCTGTGGATTGACGACGCGTTACGTTTGGTTCTGTTGAATTGGTTATCTTAAATTTTTTATCACCATGCAAAAATAGGGGTGCGGTAGAGCGACGGGTTGATATTGGTTTGGTTTGCTTTCTTTTTAACTCGTGAAGATCCTTTTCTCGTGGAGAAGGATTTACCGAATTTTCCACTTGCAAATCTTGGTGCGATAATTTCCTATTGTTTTTATTCAAAATTTCTTCAACCTCTATGGACTGCTTTGCTTCCTTTGATTTTGGCGGCTTTACGGAGCTCTTTGCTTCATGGTTTGCGTTTCCTTCTCTCGTCAGACTGCTGGAATACTCGAAAAATACTGAGCTTGGCTTTTCTCGTTGAAACTTTGTTTCTACCTTTTTTTTTGTATTTTTACAGTGACTTTTTTGAGACGTCGTCGAACCCTTTGTCGTGACATCCTTGTCGTGATTGGATTTTAACCCTATTGTCTGAGAATTTTTAGGTTTCGATGCCATCCGAGTAATGGAAGCTTTCAAAACCCTTTTCACAGTGTCTCTATTGTTCTGAGCAATTTTGGAAATTATAGGTTTTGTCATTTTACGACCTGTCTCAATCGTTACCGATTTTGGCTTACGCAACGATTCTTTCTTGAAATCAGGCTCTTCAGGAATCGTTTTTCGTAACTGACCTTGCTGCTCCTTTCTTATCGATTTTCTAATAACTTCGATAGATCTCAACGGTGTCGCCGACTGTAATTGATGCGTCTTGAATCCTGCACGAGATACTGGTATTTTGGAGATTCTATTAGCACATTCCAAAATCTCAGACTTTCCTTTAATAACGTTGGTGCTTTTCAAATTTTTATCTATTCGTTGATTCTCGTGAAAATTCACCGTTCTCGGACGTACCACCTCGGTTTCGACTCCCGAGTCAGAATCTTCAAAGAGTTTACGTCTCCAGGATGGCTTTTGAATTTGCACAGAAGTACGTGCGAGTTCCACAGAATTTCGAGCTCTCGCAATTTTTCGCTGCTTCGACTCAAAATCTTGCAAAGGCGTATCCAATGCAGCAATCGATATCTTTCCAATTCCAGATTCAGGTGTTTTTTCGATCAGTTTTAAATTAATAATCGAATTAGCTTTTTCCTTCTTCTCGTCGCTAATGTTTTTACGAATCGGCTGTACTTCCGAGAGATACTTCTTATCATCCACGCGTACAATTTCGGGTATATTTTTTTCCTCGACTTTTCTGGTCGTCATACTCAACCGGTCGTTACTACTAGCACCCACTGGTTTCGCGTGGCCTTTTATTACCGTTACGGATTCGGATTGGTCTGTGTCAGTTGTGTCATTTTTAACTGCCATTCTTGCCTTTGGTGATTCTGGTTTTGGCATCAGGCCTTGCGCAACTCTAATATCGATCATATGATTATCGGCTGTATCAACCTGCACGATTTCCTGCTGATCCGTATCAGTTCCAATAGAATCAAAACGTCTCAAAGCAGATTCCACGGAATCGGTACTTTCACACTTAACTGGCGGTACATTATTTTTTATTTCTCCGGACCTTCTCATAATGTCCGGTGAACTCAAAACTTCTTCCTCTACAGGATACCTCGGATAAAGTCTCTCTATCCTAGAAGGATCCGGACTGGACACTATGTATGGCGTTTTCTTCTCATTGATTGTTTTTGTCAAGGCATCAATAAGTTTGTTCTGAAATGACTGTTCGTCCGAATCCACAATTCTTAATCTACTCGAAGACTGAACTTCCGGTTCTATTTTTTTCGATCGTTCAACTTCCTCGACCTTATACGTTTTAACTGTACCGCTTACTTTTTTATTCGTTGCGTCAGTCCTTGTTCTTTCTATAGGTTTTTCAGTTGCAGCAGAGTCTACGCGTTTTGATTTTCGAATAATTTCCAAATTTAAATTTGGCGGTCGAGATTTTCTTTTCAATCCCACATTTGCGATCGGACGTTCCGGGATCTTGTCTCCTATGTTTTTAACGTTTTCCAGACTTTCTACAGACTTTGTCGTATCTCTTCGTGACGTATTGATCTTCGTTACCCCTGAAGTCTGTTTCTTCATAGCCGATTGTACCAAAGCCGTAGAACGTAATGCTTTCGTGCTTGGCGCTAGTTTCAGTTTGGAATCCTTTGGAGAAAGCGAATCTTTAGAAACATTACGTGTTCGGCTATGTGTTGGCAAATTTTTTCCTACAGATTTAACTGTATGCTTACGTGAAACAGTTGCGATTTGTCGGGCACTAGACGCTCTACCATTTGCAGGCACGTCAGTCAGTCTATCCACTTTTGGCATATCGTTTACACGACGAGGTCTTTGAACGGGTTTCCTTATGGTGGCTTTAATGGAACGACTGACTTTTACTTCAGTCGGACGTTTCGAACTGGCTCCGATAGATTTTTCACGAATCGCATTGAACTCCTTGTCCGCAGCTAATTTTAGGCAAATTCTACTAACCGAATCTGTCTTTTGTTTTTGACTTTCCTTTTCGGCTACTTTTTTACTTATGCTCACTGCACTGCGCGTAGGTTTTGACATGCTCTCTGGGTTTTTAGATGGCGAAAACATCGCTTCCTGTTTCCTCACTATTTTATGCTCGGGCTGTTCCGGTTCCTTGGAAATGATTATGGGCACCGTTTCGAACTCTGATATTTCACGATCGAAGTTTATGGATTCAGAGGACATCGATTTGTGCTCGGGACTTTGTTCGCGTATTACTTTCTGCATGAGTTGCGGTGACTTTAGTATTTCTTGCTTATCTGTAGATTCGCTAGGAATTCTTACGAATTCTTTACCTCTTGTTGTTTCTGGACTTTTGGTCGGTACAGTTCGTGGCATTGCTACCGGCTGTTTCTTTATGGAATCAAATTCAACGGTACCGGAAAGTCTTGACGATGGTCGTTCGGAAGTCTCGACTTTTGGACTTTTACTTCGAGCAGCTGGACTTTTACGAATATTTGATCTTTCCTTGGTCATTACAATTTTTTTGTAGCTCATGGCCTTTTTGGCTGGCTGTTCCTTCAGATTGGTCTCCATCTGTCTGATCAGTTTGCTGCATATTCTGCGTCTTGTGCCAACGACCTTAGGTTTTGATACGATTCTCGTACTTTTTTTAGTCGGATCTACGGAATCTCTTTCAACATCTTCAATCGTTTTTTGCCGTTTTTGCTCAGTTTTTTTGTACAACGCATCTTCTTTTCTCTTTTTTAACCTATTGCCACCTGGCTCTATGAATTGATCCGTAATCGATATTTCTTGATACTCGGGAGTAAGTTCGGTTTCGTCAATATGAACTTCCTTTAAAACGTTACTTTTCCCATTGCCACGCGAACCGTAAGTGTTCTCCTGCCTTCGATCATCCATTGTGCGACGAGCAAGTTCGGCGGATATGAAACTTTTCTCAAGTTCTACTGGTACAGGGAGGGATACCGTAACTTTGGATTCGTCGCGACCACTTCTTTTCAAATCAGGACTTTTACCTCGCTTCGAAATATCTTTTATTTGAATTTTCGAAGCATTCGCTTTGTCGTACTTTGAAATTTTATCATGATTCGAGTTACGGTCGATCTTACCAGTTCCCGTATAATAAGCGTGTTTACTTTGACTAGCTTCCTGCTGCTCATAAATATCCGAATTCAGAACGGTACCTCTCTTCTTAATAGGTCTCCGTATTAAGAATGTCGAATGATCTTGAGCCGATTGTGTAGTCATATTATCAGATTCAACTTCGACAGCTTTCGATGGGCTTGCAGTCTTGGACTGCGTCTCCTTTGCCTTCACCATAGACTGCATACCTTTATTCGAAGTACTACTCAAAGCATCGGTGCTCCTTTTGGACACCGAACTCTTATCGCGTTTAATCGACTGATCTTCAACCAGTATCTCCTGACGATCGGTATCGATTTCAGACAAAATTGAACTCTTTGGACTTTCCTCATCCGAGCTGACCTTTATCTTGGTAGATTCATTACTTTTCATTCTCGCAGACTCATCCGTGGGCTTGCCACTCTTTTTTACTTCTTCTGATTCCAATCCACTCGATTTTAAGCTTCCTGATTTCGTGATAATGCCTTCCTCCAATTTTCTCGAAATTCCTGGACTTTGATTTCGTGCAACCTTACGTACGAGCTCGATCGATCGTAAAAGCTTACCGGTTCCATCGCACTTAATACTCGAAGAAGATTCTACGGTTACTTTGGACTTTCGAAACCTAGCAATATCTGATACCTCGCGCGACTTTATAGGACTGTCTATTTTATCGAGCAACTGCTTAGCTGAACTTTCTCCCCTGGTCTTTATGTCCTCATTACGCTCAGAATGAGGTATCAAACTTTTCGACTTGGAGGATGGTTTAGATTTACCTGGTGATTTTGGGATCACTTTTTTGTCTTTAGCGACTGATCCACTTTGCTTAAGATTTATTGTAATCTTCATTGTGCTATCTCTGCACAGTCTACGCACGGGTGAGGTTGGGCGTATCTGGATATTTTCATGGACATTGTTTCGTTCTCGTGGAGATATAACAGCAGTAGTTTTTTTATTTTTCAAATTACGTTCAATCTCCAGTTCTACGGACGATTCGCGAGATTTTTTTACATCGGTACTTTTTTGCGTTTTCCTGGTTTTCATTGTTTTATTGATTCTTGATCGAGTCGAGTCAGCGTCTACCGAAGAGCTTCGATTACGTTCAGACTCCAATTGTGTCAGGGTGTCTTTCGAAATTTTCTCAGTAGAATGTACCGGGCTCTTTTTCGAAATTTTTTTGGAAATTTCTATCGGCACCGGTTTACGCTCTTCTACGCTTGGACTTCTCGATTTTTTTATCCGTGCCTTAGATCGTGACGTTCCTTCCATCTCTGAAAGTTGCCTTTCACGTCCCAATGACTGATGAGTCTTGACTTTCATGTCCACACGTGTGATAGAACCTTTAGATCTCCTACCATCGGACATCACGTCTTTTTTTTCCTCAATTCTTTCAATTCGCACATCGTCCACAATTTCTTTGGGATCATGGCCACTTCCCACGTGCTTTAGCTTCTTTTGGCTAAATCGAGGAGTCCCACGCGATTGATTCAGGTTCTGATCTTGTCTCGAATCGCGGATCTTGTTCGATACTACAAACTTATCGATATCTCCCTCTGTGGTATTAATCTCTATAGAATCCCTCCCTTTAGTAACAGATTCTACTGGCGTAATATCCTCTTTATGATACCTGATCTGTTTGCGCGAATCCCTATCAATTTTTTTTTTCGCGTTCTCAGATATCAAGGTTTTCCGTAATTCTGTTTTTTCACTTGGTGATATAGATTTTTCCGATTTCTTTGTCAAATCTTTCAAAGCCGTTCTTTCAATGATATCCGATTTTTTTTCTATGCTTTGACGTCGCATAACCTTTTTAACCAATTGAGCAGAACGCACCATTATATCGGATTTGAGATCGTTAGATCGTTCCACGGAATCACGACGTCCTGTATTGGTTTTCATACGTGTAATAGAATCTTTAGAAACTCGACGTTTCGCAGATTCTGGGGTAGTAGCTCTTCCGGATGAGGACTTTTCCATACGCGTATAAGATTTATCAACCGCCTGAACAGTCCTACCCTTATATAAGGATTTAGCAGTATGCCGACTGGATTCCCTCGAAATGATATTTTTCGAAATTGCTCCAACAACTTCCGGACTACTGCTAATTATTTTCGATTTGACATTCCTCGCCGTATCAATCTCATGCTTGGACTTTATCCTCGTAGAATTTATATCCCGAGCATATGACCTTTTACCTTCGTTAACTTTATCAGATTTTCTAATGACAGTGATCTTCGAAAATCCTGGCTTTCGCTTTTTCTCAATTATTTCTACACTACCAGTACCATCAACCTTCACAGACCCTACAATTTTACCGTCACTCACAGTACGTGATTCTGTTTTCTCAACAGCGAAGCTCGTAGGTTTTCCCACGATTTTCACTTCCCTCTCGTTAAACCCGGTTCTCGTGAACTCTCTGTATCCTGACTGCACTCCGGCAGTATCCGAACGTCTACATTGCCTCTGAACGGTACGAGGCTCGTAAAGCGTCGCATCGTCTTTTTTCGGGGAATCAAAAATATTCTCCGTTCTCAACGTAATCCGTGTACCGGCCTTGGTATCCTGAGATATTTTCGGGCTTTCGCTATGCGCTTTCGTGGGTTTTGCATTTTTCGAAATGACTTCGGGCCTCGTGCCTTCGTTACGTTTACGAGTAGGCCCTTCGGATCTTCCGGTTTTCATCGTATTCACCGTCTTGGTAATCCTCGTAGACGCAAGGGGCTCTCTGAGAAACCATAGGCGACAAGAGTAATTCGATGATCTTTTAAACGAATCAATTTCCATCGCCCATTTTAGTCTAGATTCCAAAGCCGGTTAGAGATGGCGTTGATCGGGATTTGTATGGAGGGAAAACACGTGTGATGTCCGATGTCATTCGTTATGCTTGCATCGAAGCGTTCTGATGTCTGTTAAGTTGTCAAGTGTGATTGCGGTTAACAATGAGGAACACAGTATAGAGCTTCGATTTCGCTTTATTGTCATCGCATCGGGCAAGAACGATTAAAGAGAAGATATTAGCAGTAGGTAAAAATGATTCTCGAACTTATCGTATATCATCCGCATTTTGTCGGATGGACACACGAGTTTCGAGTGCGAAGCCCGACGACGGATTATTCATTATTTATTATTTCGCATATTCTCAGATCGAAATAGATATATCGAAAATTATGCCATTTGTTACTATGCGGATGCATAGTTAACCTTAGAATGCATTGTTAAGGGGATCACGAGAAAGTCTAGTATGTAGTCTTATCAGGAGAAAGACAGTCCCCTTTATAATTCCCACGATAAACATAAGTGTCAGAGATTAGCAGCGGCCATAGTGTAGCTGAGAAAGTTCAGGATTTTGCGAAAAGACGTGTATGACCAACAACTAATATTTACGATGAAAGAATTTTCATTAGTTTTTAATAATAATTACAGAGTCCTTGGTCCTACTTCGGTCTTTTGCAATTTCATTAATTCACTGATTAAATTATCAAATCTTACCTGGAACTGGTTCCTGCTGGGAACATCGGCTCGGAACGTTTCCTCGTGACCGTGCCGGTGGTCGTCGTGCTATTGGAAACGTTGCTCTTCCTCGCATTTGCATTCTTGAACCGTTCCAGTCTCGCCTCCGCCTGAGAGATCTTCCTGGTGGGCGCCCTTTTAGGCAGCTTATCCGGTACGTCGAGCATCAATTCTTCCGGAAACTGTTCACTCTCCAGGTCGTTGTCAATGCGATACTTCATCGTTTTGTCGAAGTTCATCAGATGGACCTTAGCCATCAGTCGGTTTCGCTGTATCGTGTCGTCATCGAGTATCTCCTCGATATGAACCTTGAAAATGAAAAACAGAACAAAAGGATTCCAAACAATTAGCCACATGGATAATCGTGTGTATTTGAAAATGAAAATGAAAAAAAAAAGTGTACATTTTCCCATCACACCGACACCCACCTCATTACGATTGGCATTATGGTGATTCCCATTGGTATATCGTTTATCATGGTTCTCGTTTCCAAACTCGTCATCGTCACCAAAGGATTCGTGGGTGACTTCCTCGTGATAAGAGACAACAGGTTTACCTCCGTTAACGTTGCTATTGACATCGGCACGAGCAACGCGTCTGACGGTTACCGAATGATGATTCACTGCCGCGTTGCTACCTTTTCCTGGTGCATGACCGTTGCTGGTCACCTGCTTCTTGGGTTTGTTATCCAAAGGCTCTAGAGGATAACTCCTGTCGATTCCCTTCACGGTCGTTTGTCGTCGTTCGTCGAACATTTGTCTCACCTGGCGATGATCGGATCATATTTTTATTCGGTCAGATAATCGATTTTCGCGCAATTATTTAAAAGCAGCGATATCGCCTTGATAATCGATACCGAGCTGATCATCACCTTTCCGCCACCTTGTGAAGTGGAGCTCGAGTGGGTGGTGGTCGTCGTTCTGCTGATCGTTTGATGACTCACCGATGAACTATGATTAGAACCGGTCGATCCAGCGCTACCTCTCTGCACAACCTGGTAGGCCCTTTGCTGTTGCTGATCGTAAAGCTGCAGCAACTTCTGCTCCTTCTCCTGAAGTTGCTTCTGCTGAAAGCGAGCCTGCAACATAGACGGCAATTTCTTCAATGACATTAGCCATTGATTATACCTATTTCGTAATTTCAATTTCAGCAACAGTCACCGACCATATGTTTTCACTTGTACTGGCAGTGTTGCTGCCAGTTGCCAGAATTGTCAACATCGGATTCAGAACTCATGACTCGTCAGGAATTATGCATGACTCTGTCCACGTATGTCTACAAGCTCGGTGGTACACCATAGGTTGTACCAACCGTATGTGCCATGCGGTTACTATACGCTTAGGGTACGTGTAAACCTCATCGATTCTTCTAACCTACATTTTCCGGAGGGGTTAGTAAACTCATTACCGCGATAAAATATCGTACATTGTGAGAACTAAGGAAGAGAGAAGATCCTGAGAGGTTTATTGGCCACTCTACAGTAGACGCTATTTATTGGCTACCACTTTTCGCTGAACTCTTACCCAGCAATATATTTTAGAAATACCGCAAAATCGTGGCATCGACTTTTCGTTAATGAAATTTGCGGTCTGACTATGTAATGATGTATAGTGCGATTAGAAAGCACGTGGGACGATTATAATTCTATTAGTTCGATGGGTTTCTATGCTAATTAATAATTTAGTGTATTCGGGTGTAATCAATATCGATTTTGGAAACGATCGGATCGATTCGTCATTTACATATCGTGCATATAGGTTTATATACAGCGTATATATTCTATACAGCGTATATTAATACAGATCAATGTTAGCATTGCAATTTATCAGTTGCAAGTTTGTCCTACTTCGATGACATAACGTGCAGTTCTGATTATATATATTTTTATTTTTTGTGAATAGTCATTTATATCAGCTGATTTTCTACGTAAGTGTTATTTATTATTTTACTTTTAATTTAATATAGAAAAACGTCATTCCAACTGCCACCTTGGCCATAAAATTATTACATTTGATATCGCAAAATACGAGGGATGATTTGGGAATTAAAAAATTTAACTATTTATCATTTTTCATGAATCATTCTTATGACGTATCGATAGTGGTATGTCGTTGCGTAATACAGGGGAATAAAATGAAAGTTCGGGGTCGATAATCGATTCGACCAGCTCTGTCCACTCCATATGCATGTATTGTCTATTTTTTTACGGCATCAAATATGTATACTTCTGTGTCATTGATCCCTTCTTGACGGTATATTATTTTTTCCAATTATGCGAACTGATTAGTATTCGCACACCCAGAACATAGAAGAAGGACCTGAGCTACGAAAAATCGCGATCACCCCTCGCATCCGCAGCGAAAGACTTCGGGAGTAGAAACCGACCGAAGTCGAAAAATCCTGGAGAGTTCAAAAAATACACTCACAACTTTCATCACTGCCCAGAATAATCCGAAACTCGAAGCAGGTTAAGTGTAAAGAACCATATTCGTCACCGGAAGTGATCCTGGTTAGCCGTCGATCCCCGCGCAGTATTTCCAACGGAGGGTGATTAGAAGTTAACAGGTGACTGCAAGTGCAACTATTCGCCAAGTGAAATGGCACAAGGGAACTCATGCTTGACGTGACCACTCCCCTAGTGAGCGCAGTAAAGGATACCGACGCCAACCCATGACTCCCCACCGTTCAAACTGTCTTGGCGTATTTATTAGTATTTGACAGTGATACCAAAATGATATATCACAAAGAAACAGAGAAATAGGTAACTCGAAGGAAGAATGGGTCATGATCAATGCGGGACACTCAGACTGATTTGATAAAAAAGAAATCAAATCTGATTGCTTAGAGATACATTCAAATGCGAATTGACTTTGTTCCAGTTGATTGTATCAATTGACCATAGTGGTATAATATCGCTATATTCAATACGCAGATCGGTTTTTGTTTCGGTCAGCTATGGTTGGGCCCGAAACTAGTCAGTTTAAATAGACGGGAAAAATAATATTGAAACTGTCAGGTACTTATCAGTGACGGGCACTATGCAGGCCCAGTGCCAAGTCCCAGTGCCAAGTCCACGGGCACTATGCAGGCCACGTCCAAGAAAAGTGTAGAAGCAAGAAATCCCGATTGAATTAACATGCAGCTACTTCATATAATTGTTCCCAATCAAGATAAGATCCACGTCACGTCTAACATAATAGAAGCGTATAGCACAAGAGCTAATCATAACTCAAGATCTTTCCAGTGACTCGGATCATTTTTCATCTGATTCTTCTGAAAAAGATCCAAGATTCGTTTTATTGCCAGATGAGTCAAAGGCCAGGGAAGCTGCTTCGACTGGTTCTTAAAAAGCTCTGACTTACGCAGAATCACAGGACGATTAAAAAGAGTAAGTACCACCTTCGATAAGCACGGTTTCTCTCTATTATAACCAGATGACCGAGCACCGTTCTATTGTTATAGCGAATCAAGCATGAGCCAGCGACTTCAAGGTACACTGCCCTCCGCCATCAAGACAGGACGAAAGTGACGCCAGGCCTCGAAGCTTTGCTTTTATTTCCGAAAATATCCTACGCCACTGGTTCGTGCACATCGTGCTACCCGGGTCCATTCACCTTGTCCTTAACGGAGGCTTCGCTTATAGATGGCTATGCTAGGAGTCGTATACCATTTCATGAGGCTTGTGCTGCTTTTGATTGATGAGCTGGTGGCGAATGTGGAATGATCGAAGGACAACTAAGAGAGGAGATAAATAAAAAAAAAAAAGTCAATGAAACCCGTACCATGTAACGGGGTCGCCGTATCGATCGATTTCGCAAGATGTCCTACCAAGACTGTACGTATCTACTTCACTTGGATCATGGCTTCTGATCTGGCTTCATCCCGCACACAGCGTCTGACAGTTTCTGCTCTCAGCGTCCTCGCATAGCTGAGAGAGAAAGAGAGAGAAAGAAAGACTCTCCCTATAAATGGTCATGTGTGTCAGAACCGCCACGTATGCGCAGCTTGGACCTAAGTGAGTGAACTCATGATATAAATGGAGAGCACACTTTGCCATCTGCTACCTGTCATTAACCACGTCTGTGTAACGCTTAATGAATGCATGTGCGTTAAATTGATGTTTTTGAGAATCAGGTAAATTCACTGACTAATCCTTATTAAATGGTATAGTTATTAAGAGCTATAACTGAATTTATTAATGCACTACCAACCATGCTGTTTAGATTCGTAATGGCAGATGCGAGTCCTTGTGCGGCCCAGGATGTGTCTACGTTCATCGAAACTCCACGGGCTCCAAGAGAATGTGATCTAATGGACATTTTTTTAGGACGACACCTCCCGTCCAACGATGAAATTTTGTCAGACGATTAAAGAGACTTCGTATTGATGACGCAGAGGATTGACATCACTTCCGTCAATATATATACTATCGTCGGCGCTGCCATTCATCGATTCTGCTTCACTCAACTTTATAGTCAAGAGACTCGATCGTGTTTCGCGTCAAGTACAAGCAACCGGCGGTATGGCTGTTTACGCGAGACGTAAATCTTTGTGTTAATCGTTAAAACCGGAAGTACGTCGTTACAGCATCTAGTTACATACCGCGTCCCTTGTTTTTAGTACACGTTATATTAATATTTCCGCGAGATTTCTCGCGCGGCCATACTCGGTCATTCTTAACGCATAAAAATTCTTAGAGCAGTGCTCGGTCTTCTTTTTTCTTTAATTATACCAGCTAGGCTCGGATAATAAACGTGCATCGCCAGCGCTCCATTAGTAAGAAACATAAACGTAACTATAGCGAGTATCTGTATTTATGCGGGTACTCAACGGCTTTTTACAGTTACACTATTGTTTTACGGCGATACCTTACAGTATCATTGCGTGCACACATGTGGCCAAGCGTATCGATAACACGTAGCTAAATTTACTTGAAAATCGCACGACGGTCTCGATCGATAAGTCACGAAGCAGAAGAACTCTTAATGCGCTGTGAAATTAGTAGCGAAGGATTAAACCGTCTGACTTCGAACAAAAGATTTTGTTATTGCATCACTTTCAAAACCACCAATTAGTCCAGGGAGAGTGATGTTTAATGAGTCTACACTGAACCACGGATTTTTTAACGAACCCTTTCGTTCACTGTTACGACGAAAAAAATATATGGAGAAGTCGAATAATCAGGGTATAGGCTGCTCCATAAATTGCGTCACTTCCTCTTTATTTTCGTTTTAATGTTTCTTATCGGCAAGGTTCTTGCCAAGTAAATGGCCAATTTGATGATGAACTATGACCCGTTGAGGGTTGCTATCACAACTGCGTTGCTAGCAACCCTCAAGGCGCTCATGCTTTCTCCATGCCGCATGCGCAGTGGCTTCTATCCTTTGAATACTTAGGGAAACTCTGTCGGTCAGTCCAGTAAACTCTATAGACCGATGATAAATATTTAAGTACATCGTATAGCCCTTAATAATTTTCTGGAAGATCACGTAGGTAGCTTGCCATTGATTTTAGCGCTCGTGACGTTAGCATACTGCCTTTTACACATTGTCATATTGATTGTTACAATCCAAATGAGTTATTAATAATTGAGGAACGAGTGTCCAGCACTGAAAACACGAATACACGGATATAAATGAATAGTCAGATTGGACGTATTGAAATGATGATGGCAATTTTTTCTACAATACATTATTCAGTGCGATAATATCTTATGGAATACTAAAGCTCAGTTATCGGCAAACGCGGTAATGTCGTAAAGGCAGTCTTATATAAGTATTCCATCATAAAGTAACCGAAGCGATTTACTTGATGCGAGTGAAGGTCGGTTTCTATCGATGTGTTGTAACAGTCCCACCTAACGAAGGGTTCAAGGTTCAAGGTTCGAAGAATTCGCGCGATAGTTCATAAAGTTCCACGAGTCCGTACAATACATTATTCCATGACAAAGGGAGTAAAAAAGAGTCGTTACACAAAGTCGAAAAGAAAAGGAAGTATCATATATAAATTTTAACTCCACCAACACATTAAATTTATTCCTAGCACACGCCATACTTCATAAAACATGAAAAAGGAGTAGAAATATACATTACTGAATTCTCACCGCATAATTAATCAACTCGAACACCTCGCTTCATCCGCCAAAACAATGGCGCCCACATGTTTTTCCACACGTTTACACAATTGCGTATACCCACGAATTACCGACCTTGCTGCGTAACATACGAGCAAAAAAAATGACCTAACCATCCCGAGAGATGCTGCCCACCGACATAAAAATTATATAATAGCTTCGACGTTAGGTGCAAGCCATAATTTAGCACTATTTACGCAGAACAAACTTTCCAGTATGCTGCACCCAATTTGTCCAGAGTATCATGATGACTCAAAAGCCAAGATTCTCCATTGTACCATTCTGCTCAAAATACAACCAAGAGGAACACCTAGCGCTGCATGCGATTAATCGAAGCAAGTGTTTCGGATCGTAAAACATATAATATAAAACAGCCTATTAAATTGAACATACTGCGCAGACAGTGTTATGCATGTACACACATGGGATGCATCCAAGTGCATAAATAAAATGGTGCACTGGCAATGCACCAGCAAATAAATTTCTCACGTGATAGCTACCAAGATATACAGTAAGGATGCCGAAGAAGATCTGATAGCGAACAAGGAAAAGATACAGAGTAAATAAATCGGAAATGTGGGTTTAGAGTGAAGTTTGCCACAG